TTCGTGCGCAGGACTAGTCTCACATGTAAAAATCACAAGTTCATAGATCAAATTTCATTCCACAATACAACACAAATTATTTAATCGTCATCTCAAGAATTATTTCTATAAACCATATTTTCTTACACCACAAGATTGGTTTTCAACTCTTCTAAGAAGAAACTAAAGTAAAGATCAGAAACAACAAACAATTGAATTCAGAAACCTGAAAAAAATGTTTGTTTAAAATAAGTAACTGCCCTTCTTCGATTAACCGTGCCTTGGTTTCCCCCTCAAAGGACCGATCTTCATGCTCGAATGGATCGACTCTGCTGGATCGTGTGAAAGTAGTGTTGATAGTAAAGAGCAGAAAGAATTCAACTACCAGAGGTTTTTCCACTCGCAAGAGTAACTGATGATGAGAATCTTGGGACGAGCACTGCCTCGTTGCTTACGGATTTGGAAGCTGCCAAATCTTCCAAAACCTTCCATGTTGCTTCCCGTTTGGCTACAACTTTGGTTTGATTCACTTCATCTTCTTGGAACTTGGCTAAGCATTCATCAAACAGAACTTGGTCTGTCTCTGCCAATACCTTTCTCACATTCAAAGTCAGGCTCTGAACCGCTTGGTTCCAATGGCCCCTCGTGTTTCTCTCCATTGCCGGGAACACGATTGGCATGATCACTTTATGGTTTTGAGTGATCAAGTTTCTTATGTGATCGTTGTTCCACAGAAACAGAGCTCTTTCAGCTACCTGACAAAAGAAGCAATCCAACAACTCCTCTTTCATTGGGATGATTTATGACAAATTAGCAGTTTTTTACATATTAACAAACCGAGAGTTGCACCTGAAAATGTGAACTGTTGAGACATCGGGCGATTTGACGGAACAAAGGAACCATACATCGCTGAAACTCAGCTGCTTGAGTTGCTTCCAAAACTTCTTCCAACTCCCCAAGGAACATAACTTCCTTTGAACTGTTAGTAACAGGCCAATACTTTAGGAGGCTTCTAATGACAGTATCAGCAAGCTTGAAGTCTTTCTCTACAAACTGAACAATACAATACGAAAGCTGTTGATGATAGGCCGAAGCACATTTAGGTCTGTGGAGTGGAATCAACACCCGGACTAGGAAGAGCTTATGCTCTTCTTTTAATGGCAAAGCGAAACCGTTGATTATACTTCCGAGAATCTCAAGCAACTCTGCAATGCCGTTATGCTTTTCGGTTTCGAAAATGAATCTGTAGAAGATATTGTTTATCGCCTTTCTGATAAAAGGTCGGTGCACCATGAATTTCCCGTATATCCGGTGCAAAATGGTCTTAAGATATTCCCTCTCTCTTTGGTCTTCAGAGTCGAACAAATCCAAGAGCTTCAAGACGAACGAATGGTCGATATATCTTTTTGCAAGCTTCGCATCAGTCATGGTCGAGGCCACAAATCTGAGAAGAAGCTCATAGACAACTTGAAGATGAGGCCAAGCGGGTTCTAGCGCAGGTTCCTCATCATCCATATCAACCGTTACTAAAACTCTCCTCTCGTAATTCGCAGAAGGAAACGTCCTGAACAGATTAACCACTGCCACCTTCGCGATCTCTTGCATCGCAGCATCGTTAAACTTTAAAGAAACCGTTGCAATATAATCAACAAGCTCTAGTAAAGTCTGCCTTTTGATCTCTTTCTCTTTGAGATTCTTGGAAGGATCACTAAAGTCAAACACAATGCAACACATACTCAATTTCTTGATAAACAGATTAGGTTTCTCAGTGCTAGGAACATCCTTAAAGCTTGGCAAAGCCTCATAAACCCCAGAGACCGAGAACGCACCATTACTGACCTGATTGGCTCTGTTGTTGTTAGAGCTTGTTGATGAAGGAGCAAGAGTCCCATTTTCTCCATGTGAATTCGACGACGGTTTCGTCGAATTAGGTATGTAATATGAATTAACCCCACCTTCCTTGTTCGGATTCGGGTCGTTATGCGATGATTTCGAATGTTTTCTAGGCAATTTCCCAAATATCTGCTTGATCATATTTACAGAAACCCTAATTTCAAAGCCCAAAAGGGCTAAAAATCTCTCCTTTTACTCTCTATACTTAGCCACAACAAATGAAAAAGCCTAAATTAGCTGAAAAAATCCGTCTTAAACAGTTAAACCCACTGAATGAAAGAAACCCTAATCACTGAAGAGCCCTGGATGCAGACAGAACCCAAATTCAAATTCGGAAGCATAGAGTCGCAATTAGAATGAAAGATTAACTCACAAAGATCCAGAAAGCAATAAAAATGTAAACTTTGGAGAGAGGAAGAAGAGCTTACGAAATTGGCAGATGGGT